AGGTAAAGGAAGGCTGGAAAACCAGCAGTGCTCAGACCTCGAGGACCGTGAGTTGAATAACCCTGCTCTAAGTCCTGTCCAGCTCTCACATGCAGCACAGACCTTGGCGATGATGACCATTTGGTAGACTGCCAGAGGGAGGGTGACAGCCGTCCTCAAAGCTGCAGTGGTGCAGATAATGCTGGCCCACCAGGGCAGCCCAGTGGCCTGCTGCACTGTCACCAGTAGTTGCTCGGTCAGGTGGATTGGCTGGGAGTTGGCCATGCTCTCGTACCAGCCGGGCTGGCCTGTGGTCAGGTTGCGGCTCGGTAGATGCAGCACATCTGCGGTGCGGCGGTAGCACATGTGGTCTTCACTGCCCCGCTCGCCCAACGCACTGTGTCGGCTGGTCAGCGATGCGTATGTGGAGCTTGTGACCAGGGGCTTTATTTTCAGCCATCGACCATGGCAGGTCCTTGAGCATGCAGCTAACACCAATCTGGTTGTGCTATGACACACAACTGCATACAAAGGTGCTGGAGTCCTGAAAAGTGACAGAATCATTTATTGTGCTAAAAGGATTGTGAGATTATTGAACTACAGGATATTATGTCAACAAAACAAGTATTGAAATAACAGTAGTATTTTAAAAAGTCGTAATATGTAATAACAAACCGATTAAAATCCTTACAATTTGCTGCGTTAACATTTTTTCCTTTTATGCAGAGAAACATTAAGCCTTTAGAGATAAAATAGCAGCAAAATATATGCAAGTTATACTGTCACACTTCAACAAAAACCTTCAACTTCGAAAAGATGCGGACGTTAACGGTTATGTTAAGCTTTAAGGTATAATTGATAGCATAGCATACATATGTAATAAAAGGAGGACGCAGAAAAAATAGAGGTCAAAATAAAACGCATGTTAAATCAGACGTGTTGAGCTTTAATTTTCGGAGAGGTTAACTAGAAAGATTCATTTCACTTAATGGAACATGACAGTCGATAAAATCGTACAATTCAATAAAATTTTAAGTAACGTGGAAAAGGAAAAGAAAGATCGAACTAAATGTCTAAAACATCAGAATACTCACATTTTAGATTTGCTTTATAACCTCAGACGTTTGCTAATTAAGTGAATCGAACATTTAATTCGTTAAAATCCACCAGCTATGAACTGTCAAGAAACACATTTGCAGCCCACCTTCAGCTAAAGGCGCGTAAAGATGACGTAGGATCATGCGCCTTGGGCTTGAAGGTCCGTTCAACTGCATGCCCCTGTTAGCATATTGACTTCAGAATCATGTGCTTTGTTCCGTTTTTGTTAGGTATTTAAGAGTTTATAAAAAGTTTGTAAAAAGAAAAAAAAAAGCAAGACTAACTGTGATGGTATTTTTGGTTCCAGTTTACTTTGACTCACAGAGTTGTGTTTTTTTCTTATAGGGCTGATTGTGTGCTGTGGTGTGATGTTGTAAAGTAATTCCTATTTGTAATTTCCTGTTCACTCTCGTGCTCACTAGGTGACGCTGTGAGTCTGTCTGTCAGCACGCAGTAAACCCGACTAAAGCACGGTAATAAAGGAGTCTAGCTTATAGTTTTTTATCTGACATAAAGGTGGTTCCTCACAAGATGTAAATTGGGTATACGTACTTAACAAATTCACATTTTGTTTAATTGATAATATTAACTGGAGAAATTAATTTTTTTTGTTTAGCTGTTTGTATTACGCATGCTTAGAGACATCTGTTGACAATTCAGTGAATTGCAGATATCACAGAGAAACACGTGACGGTGGGAGATTAGATTGCTAAACGTACTCTGCTGTCAGCGGTTAATCGTGGATCACAGGAAATATATAAATATCATCCAAAGTATGCAGCAGAGCAGAAATTTTCAGAAACTCAAGAAATTACTTCAGAGTGATTACACTGCATCTTCAGTTGCAAGACAGACAGTTTAACTCGGTCCTCAGTGGATGCAAAGTCTGTCATTCAGCATTAATAATTCTATTATAGAAGAACAGATTTTATTTACTCGCTCATCAGATTTATTATACATTTAATATACTGCTCGGCCAAAAAAAAAGGTCGCCATTTGAATTTATATCAGCAAATACTTAAGAGCCAATGATTGGATCATTATTACAGCTCAGCAACGTTATGCAGCAATAAAGTGAAGTCAACTGAGTACCTGAATCTACTGAATGGCCAGGTTACACCTCCATCCAACATCAACAGATTTTTCTCTTCCCTGTTGGCAT